AGGAGGTGGGGGTCACCTGTTTTCAGAGGTAAAATTAGTGAGAAAATGGCTGCCAAAGATTGGTTATTTCCTTAAATTGAGATAATTTACATTTTTTGTGCCTTTAATCAACATTTTTAAGAAAAACCCACACAGAAATGAGGTCTTTAATGGGCATGAAAGGTGTTGAGCCAAAAAACAACGATTTGATAAAAATTCACAAACCTGCGGAAAACTGCAAGTTTCTTCACTTTGATTATTTTAACGAGAGCCTGATTCCACTGCGCTGCCTTACAATTAATTTGTATTTATGTAGCACAATCCCCCTCTCAAAAACAAGCTCTCTGCGCTTTACCATCTATATTATTATCCCACATGACCCCACGGATTTCCCATTTTGGCATGGTCCTTTCGAAAACGGATATTAAACTCGAAAATTCCCGCCTCTTACATAACCTAATAGTGTTGATAGGGGAGTTAAACCTATACCATTTCACCATTTTCACCATCAGACCCCCCTTGAACACTCAGAATCATTATTGGCTTCCTGGTAAGCGTACTCAGAGAAAGATGCCAATTAAGTGTTGAAAAGCTATGACAAAGAACAGGTGAGCTCAGGTGTTTTTGCTTATTGGTGAAGTTTGTAACCAGACAGGATTTGTAGTAGAGCTGGGCGAACGATCGATTCCGGAACTGATTCCCGCGATTAATGCTACGGAAGAAAAGTTCCGACTCCTTATTATGTAAACCAACGGTTACCAGATATTTTAATAATTAAAATCTTCTTATTTAAAAAAAATGTATTTTTGAACGATACAAGTTGATGCTTCGTAGTGTTCCGAAATCAAGGGTGTCCTAAATCCTGAACATGTTCGGAGTCAACCAGGTAACCACCGGAAGAAATCACATCATTAGAAAGTAAGTAATTGGGTTTGGAGTCAAATCCTACGATTCTTAGCTTTCAATAATCGGGAACCTTGCCGCCCAGCTCTAATTTGGAGCTCGGTTGGTTTTGTGAGACTCCCTGACTAAACAAGTTTCAGTAACATGAAGCTGCAGCGAGCACCTAGCGCATCTCTGGGATTGGCCCAAATATTGATGACGTATTTCAGCCTTCTATTTTTATCGTCTTCCGGGGCTTCCCTCGCCAGTTTCGAGTTCTCACCGTGGCGGACCTGCTTTGCTGCTTCGTGCTCTCTAGATCTAGGTTTCATCGCCGACGACTGTTTGGGCTGTGTGTGCGCGCAGGCTTGTGTGTGTGTGTGTGTGTGTGTGTGTGTCTGTGTGTGTGTGTTTATGTGTATGTGTGTGTGTGTGTGTGTGTGTGTGTGTGTGTACAACTTTGAGGAGAAGGTAAATTTATAAAACGAGAATGGCTGAGGTTGTTTATAAAAGGTAAGACAAATTAATACCGAAAAAGAACAAACCCAGTAAACAAATACGGTGAGATCTAGAATTTAGTCAACAGTAAAAGTTACTGGCGAGGGAAACCCAAGAGTCTTGGAGGAAACCCCGGAAGACGACAAAAATAGATGGCGGAAATATGTCATCTATATTTGGGCCAATCACAGAGGTGTGCTAGGTGCTCGCAACAGCGTCATGTGTTTCAGTAAAACTTTGGTACAACGTAATCGGCTTAAAGAGTACAATTGGCTGTCACCTTCACTTTCTGAACCACAAGTCCCATTCAGTATTTTACTCTTTTTGGCGAATATATACATGGGCTAAGAAAATGGATTGTGACCTCATCAAGAAAAGACAGGACCAAGGGCACAGTAATTTTTAAAGAATTGGAATAAATGTATTTTGACATCTCTATTTAGCACTTCGGACAAAAAAATACCCCCATTGTTTTTAATGGAAACGTGAGAAGGCCCTTGTACATTTCTAGGAAAAAGGTTTTTGTTGGGGGAGTTTCATTTTAACAAGACGTTGTGTGAAGTGGGTAAATATTTATTTGTCTTTATGGTGTGATGTTGCTTGTGAGTGTCATATAAACAAACATCTAGGTCATTTTTTATGGAATCGATAAACTGTGTATAGCTTTTATTGTCTATACAGACGGTCAATTCAGCTTTGATGGACTCAAGGTTGTCTTCATGCAGCTTCTTTCATGGCTAATTCTTCTTCCTATGTTTGAAGTACAGATTCTGTCGCAGTGCTTGCATGTCTTGTTATGAATAATTATTGATAAGTTGTTTCGACAATCTAAATTATGTAGACTCAAAGGGGATAAATAAAATATAAGTTCACTTAGGATGATTGTTGAAATATTGTTTGTGTTTAAGGGGACTCATTGTGGTAAAAATAAAACTGAATCCTTTGTGAGTAATCTATAAACAGTTGTTTTGCACCATCATATTTATCCAATCTGTTAAGACTGTACATTCCAACTCACAGTTTAAGGTCATCAGCTTACAAAAAGAAATTTATTTTACCATCTATGAAACTTAAAACAATGGGTGAAAGGGCCTTTGAATACCAGGGCCCCAAGATCTGGAATGCTTTACGAAGTTCTTTAAGAGAGATCAAATCTTTTGATTCATTCATTTGTCAGCTGAAGTCGTTTCTGTTTTTAAATTAATAAGATGAATATTTGGAGTAATTTTCTTTAGTCAGAACACGTTTTATGCTACTGTTGTATGTTGTACTGTATTGTAAAGCGCTCAGAGCCTGTGTACTTTAATCGGGGTTGAGCACTTTATAAATGTCATTTATTATTATTATTATCTTGACTCTATGAAGACTTGTAGGGATATGGTAATAACTTTGCTGACCTTCCTGACCTCAGTCTGACCATAGAGAACGCCAGCAAGTCTGACGAGGGGAACTACCAGTGCAAAGGTTGGAACTACGGAGGCGAGATCTGGAGCAGCAACATGACCTTCTTGGTGGGAAGTAAGTGACCTTGGACATTCTGTCATCTTTAACGAAGAGTACGGGGGGAGGGGGGGGGGGATATCTATATTTTGATATTGCTGATGAACAGTACAAGAGAAAAAATGTACATTTTGTTTTTGTAGATGAAGACAACAGTGGGAACAATTTTAAATTTCAGTGTTGTCTGTTTTGATCTATTGTTTGGCTTGTTCCATTCTGTTCATCATTATTTTTATCAGAAATGACTGTAATCACATGCTAGTGACGTTCAAAACAAGTGTACATGTCTTACTCTACCTGTGTCTTTCTGTGACCTTTTTTAAGGTGTTTTGTGTTTGTGGTGTCTTTTTAGTCTTACTTTTATTTGAACAAGTTTTTTTTTTTTTACGATTTACGGGACAAAATGTCAAATTTAGGAAATCCCCATGTCCCTTGGAGGTTTTCTTCCCTCCTCATGTGAGAGTAAAAAAGTTGATTAAATAAATACACTGAAACTAAAACAACTGTCTTTAATAACTGAGTTTATGTTCTTCACACTCACATTTAATAACTGAGTTTATGTTCATTGTTCATTTCACTGACATGACAATGTCACACTGACATAATGATCTCACACTGTAGTGATAATATCAAACTGACACAACAATCTTACACTAACATAATGATGTCACTCTGACATAATGATCTCACACTAACATAATGATGTCACACTGACATAATGATCTCACCCTGACATTATGATGTCACACTGACATAATGATGTCACACTGACATAATGATCTCACACTGACATAATGATGTCACGCTCACATAATAATGATCTCAAACTGACTTGACAATGTCACACTGACATCATGATGGCACACTGACCTGACGATATTCTTGGTGTGTGACCAGCAGGTTCGACCAACGAGGCTTCCTTCTCCCCGGCTTACATCGGCGTCATTGTGGGCATCGTTCTCTTCATCATCATCATCTTCGTCATTGTCATCATCAGAATCAGGAAATCCAAGTCAGGTTTTGTAAGTACCCATGTTCTCCCCACTAGTTTATTTCTACTACCCAGTAAATAGACAGAAGATGTTAAAAAAAGAAATTAAAAAAAAGAAGAATATCTTACTGTAATACTTTTGTAAGAAATATTTCCTCTTTTAAATAAATGAGAGGTTATAGAAGCTTCTTAAAATATTGTGATTTAAAAAAATAGAATTTGATATTTTTTTTAAAATAAAAAAATAAATGTAAGATATTTGAAAGGAAAAAAGTGATTTCTCTTTTCAAACATATCCTCTTTTTAAATATAAATGAGAGATTATAGATGCTTCTTAAATTGCAGCAATTTTTAAAAACAGAATTTGATTTATTTTATTTTTTAATGTTAGGTATTTAAAAGGAAAAAGTAATATCTTATTTTAAAATGTTGCCCTCTTTTCACTTGATTTACGTCGATCACTTCTCTCTTTCACGGTAACGTTTTGTTTTCTAAACCTCACAGCACAAAGAGCTGGAGCACTTCCTGATCCAACCGGAGGGAGACTATAACCCAGACTTGCCAATCGACGAACAGACCGGATGTCTGCCCTACGACCCCAAGTGGGAGTTCTCCAAAGACCGGCTGAGGCTAGGTGAGTCGAATTTCCCATAGCCTGGGTACCTGTGGGTGTCGTCTCTAACTCAGAGGTTGTCATGCATTGACCTGGAATAGTCTCAATACTTCAGGAATGAAAGACCAGCGTCTGTTGTTTTTTAGTTTTTAGTAAGGTTTCAGGGCGCTCCAACTGCATAAGGTCAAATGAGCGCTAAGGGATGGATGTCAACAGAGAGGTCCAAAGGGAGAATCAGGCTTACTCTGCTCATCTCTCTAGCCTCAACAGCACAAAGCCTGATTCGACTGTCAAGGCACCCCGGAAATAGCAGTTTGCAAGAGAGTGACAAACATACAAAAGAAGTAGAGGAAAAATGACGATAGTAAGGTAGAGGAAAGAAAAAGCAGCAGTTCCACCTATGTTGTTCTGACCCAGAATGAGCATGACGTTGATAAATCAGCCCATTTACAATTCTACTGTGCATAAGAACATGATAATATCCCTCCTTTGAGAATGGCCTAAAGACTTTTTAGTCAGTAGCACTGCCCTGGTGGGGGGTATCTGTTGTGTAGGAGTTAGGGGCTTCGCTGTCCCAAGCAGGAGACCTGTGCTTAATCTTTATCAAGTGTCTCAGTCTTTCTGCTGGGATGTTGTAACCCACTTAGCCTGGATTGGCGCTGACAGGCAGGGTTTGAGACCCGCCTTCTAAATGATCATCTAAATTGTGTCAATGGTGGCATAAATACACCTACATTCATCATCATCATCCAGTGCCAGATCTGCATCAGACATTGGCGATCATGGTTTTCCATTCATTCCTTTGCTCGGATGCTCTCAAAAAAGCTATTTTTCCCTGATCTTTCCCTGTTACCCATTTGTTCAGGTTCCCTAAGTATGTTGTTCTAGGCCTACCCATGCCTCGCTTGCCCTCTATTTTGCCAGTGAGAGCTAGGTGTTCAAGACCCTTATGTCTATTGAGGTGTCCCAAAAACTGCATTTGTCATTTCCTGATTGTTTTTAACATTGAGCGTCCCACGTGGGCTTCTTCAAGCACTACCTCATTTGATTTCCTTTCCTTCCACGATACTCTTAGCAGTCTCCTAAGAAACCACATTTCTGTTGCTTCTATTTTATTTTCACTGTCTTTAGTGATTGTCCAGCATTCACAGCCATATAGAAGGGTTGACCAAACATAGCATTTCAGGACTTTCATTTTGGTGTTCATTGAGATGTTTCTATTTTTCAGGATTGGGCTCATTTTATTGAAACTCTCCTTAGCCATTGTAGTTCTCTACATTAAAAAAAGATAAATTTAAAAAAAAAGTTTTTTAAAGGAATTAAAGATTCTTCTCTGTCTGATTCTTAATGGGGAAAAGAAGGCTTTGCATGATTCCTAAATGTCACAAGTATGTAAATACCAATGTTATCAGCTGACTTGATCCCTTTGTGCAAATTGCTCTGACCCGTTCTCTGATTCGTCCCAGGTATGATCCTTGGTCAAGGTGCCTTTGGCCGGGTGATGAAAGCTGAAGCAATCGGCATCGTTGATGGAGAGGATGTCACGGTGGTCGCTGTGAAGATGGTGAAAGGTAAGACGACTTTTGGTGTTCCTTGATGGAAGTGTTAGTCTATGCGGTTCCCTGCATTAAATTTACTTATATGTATATGTTTATATGTATGGATAATAATATATCTGTGCCTTTTTTTTAACAGGAATTTTTAGCTTAACTTTTCAAAGCTTAGTTTAGAGAACTAGTGGACTTTCTAAACAAAAAACTGAACAGTTTCTCAATTTGGGCTGATATAAAAACTTCCAGATTTAACTTTGACAGCAGTCATTGTCAATTTGAACAATCTGGTATTGTCGTCTTTTGTGCAGAAAGTTAGAGGCTACCACTTCATGGTTGTACTCCTTTTCTTTCAATCCGTTGTTCATGTATGTCCGTCTTTCTTTTTCCGCTCTACTAAAGGGTCATTATGGTGTCGATGTGAATCTCTTAATGAAACTAAACATAGAGGGTGGTTGGCAGGTGCTTTTGTGTGGTTTGCTCCCTTGTTCCTTTCAAACATCTGTCATACTTATCTCCCCTTTTTTTCTCTGTTATTCTCTAGTAACATACCTAATCTTCGGCACTTATATGACCTTTTAACTGTATTGCAACTCTTACCAAACTTAAATTAATTAATCCTATCTGTACATTGCGTTTTACTATCGCTTCCATACTACGTGGGGAACTCTGTGCCACCACTATCTAAAGAGGAAATTTACTCGTTAATCCAATCCATACGCTTTGCATAGCAGTCTGTCAAAATTATTTTTTGAGAAATACTGAAAGTTTCAAAGAGATCTTTTCGTACTAGAAGCATTCTAAAATATAAAGAATACAACCCCGGGGGTACAAAATGACCCCAGGGTGTATGGATAGGGTTAAACGACCATTATCACTTTAATGTGCATCTCAATATTGTTCTAAATCTACCCTTGCCCTGTCGTGTCATCCCCAGACTGCACAGACAAGGACCAGATGATGGCGCTGCTGTCAGAGCTGAAGATTCTCATCCATGTGGGACAACACCTCAACATCCTCAACCTGCTCGGTGCAGTCACCAAAGACATCAGATTCGGTCAGTCTTCAAAAAACCCACTGTTTTGTTGTATGTTTATTGGCCGATCTATTTTTGTGATTAGTTCTTTCCTTGTGAACGGATTCGGTCAGACTTAAACGACGTTTTTTGAGGGGGTCTGTTCATTGGTCGATCTGTTACTGGGGGCCGTTATCTCCTTGTCTGTTATTGTGGATAGTTCTCTCCTTGTATACAGATTCGGTCAAACTGCAAGGACGTTTTTGTTGTCTATTCATTGTCCGATCTGTTACTGTGGATAGTTCTTTCCTTATCTGTTATTGTGGATAGTTTTCTTCTTGTCTGTTATTGTGGATA